AAAAAGTAAGATGATTTTTCACCTATAAATTGTATATCCATATTTCCTTCCCACGCAGTAAGAAGGATAGGATTATAATCATTTATACCAATTTCGGTATCAATTCGAGGAAGGTCATAAAGTCTTCTTTTATGTTTTAATTATTTCCTAACTGCTATTGAATTTATGACATCTCTTATAACAAATGTTTCCGTGATAGGACGAGAAAAACTGAAACGACATATACGAACAACTTTACGTCTTACTTTCTTAGAACGAAGACAATAATCATTATGTTTGTGAGTAGGTAAACAAGGGAAGCCCTAAGCCTCCCGTGGCAAAAGGAGGGGTGACGGGGACAGGAGGTCATAGAATCCCCGGAAGCTTCGCATCCGAAAGGGAGAAGGTGGATCCTTCTGGCGGTCACCGGGGTAAATTTTTCCTCCTCGGTCGGTAAGGATGATTTTCCTCCTTGGCGGTCGCGGAGTGGTTTCCCCCTTGGCGGTCGCGGAGTAGTTTCCCCCGAGCGATCGCGGAGTGGTTTCCCCCGGGCGATCGCAGGGTGATTTCCTCCAGGCGATCGCGAGCTCGGCGGTCGGGAGTGGTTTCCCCGCCGGCAGTCGCGAGCCCGGTTTTTTTTCGGCGTCGCCCACGGAGACGTCGCACGTCCCGTTTTTTAGGATGCCGCGGTTAGGCGCGCGTTTGTGTCTAAGCATCTTCCGCGGTGTTTCCTGTTTTTCGCGGCGACGGAAAGGCGCGCGTCCTGTTTTGTAGGATGCCGCACGTTAAGCGCACGTCCTGTATCTAGGTTGTCTAGGTGTTGTCTACTTTTTTAGTTATTACGGATTATTAGTGCGTGCTGCTCATCCTGTTTTTAAAATACCGCGGTTTGGCGTGTCGTCGAATTGATTCTTTTGAGTAATACGTCAAAAAGTGTGTTGCGTTACGATATCGTTACGCTGTCAAAATATTGTCGGTGTGCGACAACAATGTGAGACAAGAATACTCGACGATGATGAGATGTGCTGGTGCCATTCACTGGAGGAACTAACATCTTCTCCATTACGAAATGTGACGGCGTATCCATCAGTCAACGTGACAGAGTATGTCGTATGAAGACAGTACACTTCGACTCCCAATCATTTAAAGAGACGTAGCTGTCGATCTCCGTTTCAACATGAGATTTCACCCAAAAGAGTGATAGAGGTATGTGTATGTCATCACTACCGAGGGATGGCATACAATCTATCAACAGAAGTCCTCTATGAAAAGGATAAACCGATCGATATCAGTAGATGACAGGAATACATGGTAAACTTCCGTGAAAGCGATTATTACGATGTATTTAATGACAATGATGATGATGAAATGTTTTGCATTCATCGCAAGTATTGGAGAAAAAGTGGTACTGTGTCGTCAGCCACATACGAAGAGGAAGAAAAAAAAAAGAAGCGCGTTGGTATCAATTAGCGCAACTGAAACACGCGAGAATTCAATTTGTGTACTCCGCGTCAGAAGAAGAAGGAATTGGTGCGACAGTTGCTAGATCGGGCCGCCGATAATCTGAGGAGAGTGCACGGGAAAGCGAGAAACGTCGAGTAGGGATGCGCGAGAGAGCTCTATGTACGCGCGATGTATGAATCGTTGTAACGCGATAAAAGCTATAAAAGAGTGTGCGAGTTTGCGCACATATATAACTATAATTAATAATATAATTATGTATATGAATATGTATGAGTATAAAAATATATATTAATACAAATATATATTAATAAAAATAAATATATATTAATGAAAATATATATATATATAGTAATAAAAATAAATATATATTAATACATATATAGTAATAAAAATAATATATATTAATAGAAACAAATATATATGTACGAGATATAGGTTAAAAATAAAAATGTAGAATCGA